GTGCTACGAGCCAAGCGAGGCGAGCATCGACTGGAGCGTGACAACCGCAGAAGGGTTCGACAGAGCAAGCGCGGTCAACTTCTCAGCGAGCGCATCGGAGATAGCGGACGACGCGGGCATCGTGCATGGCGGTGGGGAGGTTCACCCGGCAGAGAAGTGGAAACGGAAAGGATCATCGGGAAACGGGATGTCGTTGCTGAGCTGTAGGAGCCAGAAGGCAGTGAACGTAGGGCCACAGCCGGTGAGGGCGGTGGAGGCAGGAGAGGGACAGAGAGGGGCCACCAACAGTATAGCGTCGTCGAGGCAAGGGCATGTGAGTAGTGGGGTAGGCGCTGTAAATAACGCACCGCATGGAAGCTCCCACACAGCTCGCGTGTCTCTTCCCTACGCAACATAGCCATTTGATGGCCGGGGTCGTATTGCGATCTGCTTCTTGTCTGCAGTGAAATGCGTTGCATTGTTACGGCTCTCCATTGCAGACATATCCGTTCCCTCCCCTTTGATCCCCCTCCTGGAATAAATGATCTTATTATCGTACGTATCCACCTTCTTGCCTGCTTCCTTTTCACGTTTCAATAATTGTGTAATTCTCATTCCATTATTTCCTTATTTTTCTCGCACCTCATCAAAATTCAATTCGCTTATCTGGGTGCTTTGTTTACTTCATCGTCTTTAAAAATTCAGACTGCAATGTCACGATCCACTCACCTGAGTAATTTTTAGGTGTTATGCTCTTACATCAGCTTTAATACTGCAGCCGAGTCACTTAGGAAGATGGATTTGCTCCAACTCAACTCACCTTGTTTTTTATGTTTATATTTTTTAAATTAATTTATCTCATTTATAATTTATAAATCAGTGTATAACTTAATAGTATTATAAAAATTATTATAGGATGGTTATGTCATGTTTGTGACAGTTAAATAATTTATTTAACTTTTTAAATTTATCTTAAGTAGATCTTATATTAAGGATATTATAAGTTAGAATATTCATAAATACAGGTCTCTAATAAGCAATGAAATAAAAGGCATTTAAAGCAAGGTTAATTAGAATCAGATTTTCTATAACTGATGAATAGTAGGGTTTTTGTATGATACATAAGATACTTAAAATAAATCATCTCAATTACGAGGCTAATTATTGAAAGAACTATTAAAAAGATATCAATATATGAATATAATCATAAAATGTCTCATAACAATTGAGCAAAATATCATGAATGATAAGAAATAACAACAAATCCATGTTATTCACTTATTATTGAGATTTTTTAGAATTAATTTTCATTATTTAAAAGAGTAAAATATATCAATCTCCTGTCTATTTAATATAAATTGCAAAGACCTTTTTTTTTATTTTAGAAACTTGTATAAACCTCATTTAAAATCAAAATATATGTTATACAAATATTTCTTATGGTTTAGGATTCAATTTTTGTCCATTTAACTATTAATTGACTGCTAAATTATAGTGTTGACCTATTATTTTGACTAAAATACCCCATCTTCAAGCAAGTATTACTTAGTAGTTATAATTTAATATCTTTATTTGAAATTAAAAAATAATTTCAGTACACATTTTAATATTTTTTTGTTATACTATTAAATAGATTATCATATAATAAATTTAATTAATATTATAAATATAAAATTTTATTTTACAATAAATTTAAATGTTTAATCTTGTTTATTTATTTAAATTTATTTGTGATGTAATCTTTTAAATATATATGTTGGCTGAAAATGTTTTGTAATCACATATACGTATTTTTAATTAAATTATAAAGTTATATATTCATTTACTAAATTTATAAAAAATATTAAATAGATCATTAATAAGTATTAATGTTAAAAGTTAGAAATTTAATAGAATGAAAGGTAATTTTTAATTAAAAAATATATCTAAAACGTTTTTTTAAAATATTTTTTAATAATATTAATGATTTGAACTAAAATATATGTTTTTAAAATATAAGAGAAGTATATGTAATTAAAGCAAAACAAATGGACAGAGTATTTTTAATCTATTTAAAACCTTGTAATAATTCTTTTACAGGTGCTGCATGACTCTTTTTTTGAGATAAAATTATGGGAAAATTGCAATAAGATTCCATCCAAAGGAATTAAATAATTTTTTTTAAAATCATAAAATTATTCTAATATCTGAATTTTTTTGCAATAAATTTTGTTTATTTAATTATCAAATTGTTCTTATTATTTTTTTAAGTTTGTATTAACAATTAAAAGAACAATCATTAACAAATGAAGATGTAATGATTGATAAATATTATAGGAGGTATTGACAACATATTTTCTCAGTACATCACAAAATGCAATGTATGAGTTGTCAATACTTGCCGTAATAGTTGTCAATTATTACATCTTAAGTTGTCAACCATTGTTCTTTTAGTTGTTAATACAAATTTTAAAAAAAATATAATTTAGTAATTAAAAAAATAAAATTTATTGCAATAGCGTTTTTTTGAATTTCAGAATAACTTTATGATTTTAAAAGATTTTTTTATTTAATTCTCTTGGATGAACCTAATTACAATTTTTTCTAAAATTATTGTTCACACTTCACAGACACTAGATTCTATGCACAAACACCAGGAGTCTTTGTCACTCTTGTGTGGGTGGGGCGTGTTGCGTCAGTCGCTCCGTATAATCTATTCACAATCCAATCACAATCACTAATTGAGTTTTGGCATGCACCTGACATGAGAAGATAAGAAAAGTAAGTAGAACTTACGAACGTTAGCAGGACTTCATCTAAACGAATAAGGCCAACCAAATCTCATAAAAGATCCCATTTTTATTTGATTGGCCTCTGATGTTTGATTCAGTAAGATAAAATTCTTCTCACGTACTTATTTTATATATTATAAATTATTTTTAAAATTATAATTTAGTTTTATTCAAACACTCTTTCAATATCACTTGCTTTTTACACGAGGAGTGAGATTTAACTCTGCCAATCTCGCAAGATACTGGCTCTGTTTGGGTCAGCGTTTGCTGACCCAAAAGCAGCTTATATTATAATTTAAGCTAGGTTGATCATATAGCTCTGTTTGGAAGAGTTTAAAACCTATTGAGCTTATTTATTTTTCAACCTACTAAACGCTTAATGAAGATAAGCTCCACGCAGGAGCTTATTTGAGAAGAGCTTTTACCAAATGTGCGTGTCAGGAGCTGTACCAAATGTGCGTGTCAGGTCCTTTCTTTTTAACCCGCAAGTCCTCCTTTCTTTTCCCAGACTCAAGTCCCACCCGCAAGTCCCACCAGCTTTCATTTTTTTTTATCATGTTTTATTTTATACTCAAAATATTTTTTATGGTTTCTCTCAATTTTAATTCAGTCATTAAATTTCACTTCTTCGTTATATTATCTCAATTCTTTTTTTTATGTTTCAATTTATATTTAAAATATTTTTTATGATTTCTTTAAAATTTTAAAATTTAATTCACTCATTAAATTTGATTTCTTCATATTAAATTATTTTAATTTCATTATATTATGTGAAATCAATTTTTTTATGTTTCATTATTTATTAAAACTCATACCCATTTTGGTAATTTTTCAGCCAAACTTATTTTTACTTAACTATAATCCAAACAAGCTTTTACCAATCTCACTTTTACAAACTAACTTTTCTAAACTTCAATCCAAACACAATTCAACATATCTAATTTAACTTTTATCAACTTCACTTTTTCATAAGCTACTTTTCCTATAAACTGTTTTTCCAATCGCTGATTCAAACGGGTCTCCCATCCTAATTGTAAAGGTTAAACCGGGGTTGTGGTACTGATACCCAACAATTAAAGCGCTGTACATACACACGCATATAAAGATTTAACTTGACTTGCTTTCTTTTTAAAAAACAAAACACCCACACACACACCATACCGAGATAAATCTGGACGCAGCTTTATGAGAGAAGATAAGAGATAAATGTGAACGAAGACAAAGCATGATGTTTAGGTGGGCACTATTGATGGACCCAGAATGTTGAAAGCATTGTGCTATTATGATACTTGACATAAAGACGACTGAGATTACACAATACGAGGGAAGTGCATCATAAGTCAGCATCTGAGAACAGATAGAAATCAAATCAATGACTCACATTTATTTGGTAATGAACATCATTATCGTCCCTAATTATGCACCACAGGCACAGCCAGAGTCCACACGTTGCAGCAGACAAACTACCATACAGAGTTTGGATTTTAAAACCAGAGCACGTAACAGACATGTTGTCGAAACCAATAATGGGCTGCAAATTTATGAGCGGCCGAAACCAGAAATGGCAAATGGGTCCATTGCCCAGTTTTGGATCTCATCGTTTGCAAAGTGAACGCAGGTAATATATCTCGAAAAAGATAAGGGGAACAAAAAGGGGAAGATGTGTATAATCATAGTATGTGAATATTGGGTGTAATTAAATTTTTTTTTACGTCGTTTTTTTCCTGAATAGACAAACGCAGGAACGAATGAAGAGCATGAGTCCAACCATCAGCGCCTTGCTAGAACAAATCGAAACGAATCTCGAATTTTTTCAATGCCTTGACGAATGATGGGGTTGATAATCAGAAGCGGTGAAGGACAATAAGAACGGCGGCCGTCTTGTGGGCCGGCTAATTGTCTTCCCTTTTCTGGGTTTTTGGGCGATGGTTGAAGCTCGTGGGCTAATGAAAGTGGCCCATTCGGCCCATGTTTTGCCCCTATATTGTGGGCTCTATAGTCTATTGGGATGTAAGGGGATATATATACCTACCGATCTGATAACCAGATAACGTATTGAGATGACATGGAGCACGATAAATAGGGTGATGATGTTTAATACGTGGAAAATGATAGCCTTGTCACCCAATTGTAATTTGTCAGTAGTGTTTTTTTAATCGATGTCCCTCGTGGCCCAATCACAAAGTGGCAACACTTTGTTTATACTCCGCTGCTAATATAAAAGGTCATAATCCATTTTCCTTATTCAGCCATCCTCACCACGCACGAAATAGGTGAATTTGGGCAATACATGGGACCACTAATCCATAGAGTTCGAGGTTAGGATGCTCAATTTATCGCGCTTTCTAGCGAATGGAGGATAAAGGGATCCTTGATCTTTAAGAGACCGGAAGTTGTGGAAGAAGCGGCTGGAGAATGTGGATAAAGGTGTTGTTGGCAACAGTTATATTAGCATTGGTTAATTCTGCTTCTGCCGGTGATACTCTTAACAGAGATGACTTCCCACCAGACTTCATCTTCGGCGCAGGAACCTCTGCTTATCAGGTTCTTCATCTTCCTTCTTCCTCCTGTTGTGATTCGCTGTGTGTGCTTTTCTGAGTTTGAATGGAATTCGGATGACATCGAAAGGTTGAAGGTGCAGCAGATGAAGATGGGAGAACGCCCAGTATACTTGACGTCTTAGCCCTCGACGGTGTAGTACAAATTATCATACTTACTATTCTCTAGCTTTTACCCCACTACACAATACACAGGATTTCATATATTCATGTTTTAATGTTTATTTACTGAGCTTCCATTGATACTATGCGTGCTATCACAATCTTGTGGACGAGGTTTCACAGAACGCTTTTTTTTCCGTGTAATTGGTATTTATTTAGTCTTCCTTGTAATCCCCAACGGGCAAACAAAAAGTTGTTGAATCTCCATTTAAATAAAATTTCCAGAGAACAAGACCCGGGGATATGGAGATAGAACATGCGACCAGTATCACAATTATAAGGTTCGTAAATGTGGCAAATGCAAAAATCACCTGTGGAATGATCAATTCTGATTCGTTTTATGATATGATTAACTGCATTATATAAACTTAAACTTTCTTCCTTTCTTCACTGAAGTCACGCGCGCACGTATCTTCTTTGACTTGATTTGACTTGTTGCAGGAAGACGTGAGACTCATGGCTAACATGGGCTTAAATGCATACAGATTTTCCATATCGTGGTCAAGACTTATTCCAAGTTACGGCCTCATTAATCTGTTAACTCATAATACTGCTTCTTGTTTTGAATAATCTGATTCATCTTGTCCCATGAATTTCGCAGATGGAAAAGGAGCAGTCAATCCCAAGGGACTAGAATATTACAACAACCTTATCAATGAGCTCATAAGCCATGGTGATTACTTGTAAACACTATATTTTCAACCCCTAGCACAAGCTCTTCCGTATACACGTTTCAAGCTAGTTTCGAACTTCTTTAAGATTAAGAGAAAGTTTTCAACTGCATTTGTGGTATTAGTTTTTTCATCATATTGTAGATATCCAGCCACATGTTACGTTGCATCATAGTGACCTGCCACAAGCACTGGAAGATGAGTACGGAGGATGGGTTAGTCGTAGAGTAGTGTAAGACAACTTACGCTGCCTGCCTTGCTAGTTATACAAAACGAATCACTTTCAGTTGTGAGAAACATATATATTATATGCATGCTGTTTTGCAGGAAAGACTTTGAAGCATATGCGAATGTGTGCTTCAATGAATTTGGTGATAGAGTTAAGCATTGGACCACGATGAATGAGGCAAATATATTTGTGCTCTGTGGTTATGATTTGGGAATGCTGCCGCCTCAGCGATGTTCATCTTCCATTATAGGCATAGCTAACTGCTCCAAGGGCAATTCTTCAACTGAGCCATATCTGGCAGCCCATAATATGTTGCTAGCACATGCATCAGCTACTGCATTGTATAGGAGAAAGTATCAGGTATCCTCTTGAAATTGCAAGAGTGAGTGACAAATGTTTAATTAGACCGCCATCCTAGTACTAATCGTTTTATATGAAATGCAGGAGCTACAACGTGGATTTATAGGGATTAATATCTTTACTATGGATTTTTCTCCTCTAACAAATACTACTGAAGATTTAAGCGCCACTCAAAGGGCTCAAGATTTCAATCTGGGTTGGTAAGTAGTAATTCATGATTGCTCTTCAATATGTCTATAGTAAATGTGTTAAGTCTGTTAATGGTATCGATGCGGTTGTGATGCTGCAGGTTTTTGAATCCCATAATGTTTGGTGAGTATCCCGAGACACTTAAAAGAAGTGCAGGCTGGAAGCTTCCTTCCTTCACTAAAGCTGAATCAAATATGGTGAAGGGTTCAATTGACTTCCTGGGAATTAATTTTTACTACACATGTCATGTGAAAAACTACCCCAGCAGCTTACCAATGGGGGACAGAGACATTCTGGCAGATTTGGCCTTCATATATTCATGTACGCTGTTCTAAGCTGTTTTTCTGCTTTACCAACGCAGCTTCAATTTTATCAAATCCTAACTATCCATGTCTTAAATTGTAATTAAATAAATGCAAGGTATCGAGACGACTACTTAATCTTATTTGTGCTTGTAACAGGTTTTGGGAATGCTACATTTGCCGTTGAGGTAAGCATTGAAATCAGGTTTCGTTCCTCTTGTTTTAATATTGGAGCTTAAGTTTTCCAACACTCACTGATTTTTTGGGTCAGATTCCAGTTAGACCCTGGGGATTGAAAAACTTGCTGGAATTATTGAGGAACTCTTATGGCAATTTTCCCATTTACATCCATGAAAATGGTTTGCTTCTTCCCCCGTCTCAGTCTATGTTTCCCTTAACAAAATTAACCGTCCTCCATTGTCAAGTAGGGCACAGTGGTGACTAAGTCTATAAACTTCACAGGTCAACAAACACTACGGGATTCTTCATTGGATGACTGGTCAAGGGTCATCTTCATGCATGAATACATTAAGAGTGTGCTTGATTCACTCAGGTAACATGATTTTCTTCTCCTCAACTTCACTTCCAGTTAAGGTGATATCTCAGGAGTATTGATGGGTTTTTCCTGTCCTTTTCTTTGTTCTTGACACATTGAAAGGAACGGAGTGAACGTGAGAGGCTATTTTGTATGGTCCCTTTTGGATTTGCTCGAGATAATAACGGGATATCAAACCAGTTATGGGCTATATTACATAGATCTGAACGATCCAAATTTGAAGAGGCAACCTAAACTATCTGCTAAATGGTACTCCGATTTTCTGCATAATAGGAGTATGAATCCGAAGATCACTACAGAACTTGAGAAGAGTGCACCTATGCTCTCTGCTGCCGCATAGTGCCACTTAGGACCAAATAAGGAGAGGCTTAAAACTCAGGAACCATTCATCCTTCTCAGTCTTGTAATTTTCTAATGTTATCATTCATGGTAGAATTACATGCTTCATCTTATTTTGAAGAATTTGCCGATTTCTGAATACAGCAATCTTATTTGGATGGTAGGACTCAAAATCTCAACTGCTTCATCCTTTTTTTTCTTTGGGCTTCATTTTTTTTAATTAATTTAAACGAAGTTCATGCACGGGCATGGAGCTTGCTGGTGCTAGTGCTTATAAGCCATCTAGATGTTGCCAGCAGAACAGAATAATGTAGAAATGCATATGAACGACAGATATTTTATGATGAAAACAGGGGACGGGGAGGGACAGTGCAAAACAGAGGCGTCTATTGAACACTGGAAATTATTCAAATTACCGGAGGAAGGGGGGGGGGGGAGGAAAAGGACTGTTCTGACTGAAAATTATTCATGAAACAAAAACCTATGACCCTAGAGACTCCCGGTAGCTAAATCAAATTGACGCAAACTCTTGGCTCCTCTGGAATATCTACCAATTCCTCTATCTCTTTCTTGTGATTGCTGCTCCGTCTGATGATCCAAGTTGAAGCATCTTTAGAGATTATGGGAGGGGCAGAAGTAAGAGCGGAATCCCAGATTGCATTTTCTGGGCGCATATATAACCACAAAAGAAGTACGAGAGAAGCCATGGCAAATACCATGAAGCTCACAGATCTTATGTCCCGCTTTAATAGTCATTGGCTCATGGCATAAGCTTCTCGTTATACAAGTAAACAATTAATTGTTTTGCTGAACAATTAGGAAAACGTCGCAACACGTTGATATTGTTGCCGGTTTCGTTGTTGTGATAAATGCATACATCGTGCGAGTCAAGGTGGTCAATTTAGTGGCTGTTTAAATTGAGTTTGCATTATACGAAAAGCATGAGAAAAATTTTAACTCATAAAACACGATAAAATTATAATCAATTCTCTTATTTCCCAAACACACTCTTAATTAATGTGACTGTCTTTATCAAACTAGGGTGTTGGTTAAGGAATCGATGAAAACACAAGCACCATATTTTGTTGCCTTTTGCTGGTTCTATTATTTCTGCTTAAATGCATATCTGACGCTGCCAAAGGTAGTTGGAAAATTGGTAACTCATCTTTATCTCTCTCTTTTTTTTTTTTCCCCCCTTGACGTCGTTAACTCATCGTTATCAACACCTTAGACTTGAACTATCGCCATTCATAAGACGCACACTAACCTGCCACTGCTGGGCGCCCAATAAAGTATAAGGGAAGGCCATCAACAACGGAATCACTTCAGTTTTTTGATCAAGTTCGAATAAAACCACAACCGTATTAATACTGGTCATTTAATCAAACCCCGTTTCCTCAAGTAACTTGTCATAACTAAGTGGTTACTGGTTACTTGAACCCGTTATTTTACAGATAGCATAAAAGCACATATGACCAAGAGTATTGCTGCCAAAGGAATCTCGTCAGCAACATGGCTCACTGTGAATCATTTCCCCCGTCTTAGCCCGGGGGCCAGTCCATCCGTCGTCCCCCAAGAAGATGCACATGAATGTGGTAAACTGATTGGCCTGCCAAAAATAAAATTTCAACTCAGATTTGAAAATTGCTATTAAAAAGGAAGCTTGTGTACGTGGTTGTGTCTGCTGAGAGCAAAACGGATCAACTTGAACATATTGACATGGAGGACACTTACATCCCTCTGGCCCATCATTTATTACGATTCTAAAGCCATCATCAAGGCCTTCTTGCTTGGCAACCAGCTTCGCAGTGTATAGAAGCCGGCCAAGAATCTCACAGTGTCTCTCCTCAGCCTGGAGAAAAAGGCCATAACATTAAAGTCCAAAAACAAACGTTTCCAAGTTAAAATGCTGATGTTGGTGATGGTTTTTGCAAAACTAAATGCGACCCCAACATTTGTCACCTGACACTGACACCCCATGCCCACAAAGATTAGTGGAGATCTAGAAGCATGTACTCATATCATAAAAGCATGATCACAGGTAAGGTCAAAACCTTAATAGCGAAGATTTTCCAGAATGGTCCTAGAAAGCTTTCCTAATTAATAGATCCTATTTCGTCATATACTAGAAAAGCATGTGCGGATATGCATACCTTGGACAACCCAGTTAACCCATCTTTCACTTTTGGAATGATTAGAACGTGTACTGGCGCTTGAGGGTTAATATCCCTAAAGGCAAGGACCTGGAAAATAGAAAAGGAACACAATAGGATCATAAAGTTCTACAATACAAATGCATATTTCCACCCTTTAGTGTCACCCTCCTGGTGCATACAATGCGGTACTAGAGAGGAAACAATCTCCCACAATTGCATTCAAACTCTAAAAGACTGTTTGAGCGATTTAAATCTTGGCATGATCAGTCAGTCCAAAGAGTGAGGAAAATGTTAAAAAGAATAAACACGAGCTTTTCAAAACTTAAACATTTTAACTGGATTTTAAAACATGGCCATTTCTCTATAATTGTGTTTTTCAATGTAAATATAAGCATTTTCCCCGTTATGAAGCATGAACCCTCAAAAACCAAGATGTCCGATCAGGGCCATATCAAGTAAGGTCATTGTGTTCATGTCAGTTACACATGCTTTCCAGTGTCTATGTCATCTCTTTTAGGAAGCGACATTTGAAACATGATCAGATAACTCAAATTCCCTGACAGAAACAATAAGGTTAAAGAGCCGAGCACATTGAAATACTGCCCAGTCCCTCTCAAAAGAAATCAAGAAAAAGGGGGAAAAGCTACAAGTGAGATAAGTTGAAGACAAGATAGAACGTCAGGTTGTACCTTATCATCCTCGTAGACTACAGTAGAAGGAATTTCCTTATTGATGATCTTGTCAAATCTACGCATCACATGATACAGAAGTAAATATATCAAACTTCAACGCTAAGCATTCAGATTTTTCGAAAATAATAGTTTAAGGGTACAAATAACATATCCATCCTCACTGGGTAGCGTACATGAATTAAATCCCATCAATACCCAAAAGATAGTTTGAAATAAAAAAGACTACTTCAAGCATTTATACTTATAGCATGAACAGTAACAAGGCGCCCGTAAACATTCACCATCGCCTTATTCCAACATGTCATAAAACATTCTTTGTCAAGAAAGATTGTGGGTTTAAACATAGAATCCATTTGAGCACCCAATCTACCCACACAAAGAACAATCATTTTATGGCTTTGTACAAACGGTGATTCAGCCAGATGATAAGAAGATCATCCGAAAACAAAAATTCAGACAAGGAGACAGTCGAATAAATGAAGCAATGAAAACCAGAAATGCAAAAACAAATTGCGGAAGGGATTCTAAAAGTAAATTATAGAAACCATACATTGTAGGAGCATCGGAAGGAGTCGCTGCAAGAGCAGCTTCTTTCTCAGAAGCCATAGTTGCTGACTCGCCGTGACCTGCCAGGGCTGACGCCGATCGTATTTCTTAAAAATATTTATGGGCTTTTTGATGGCCTAAACTTTGGGGGCTTTTTGGCCCAATAGGGGGAGCATATAATTAAAAAAAATTAAAAATTACCGGATTCCTATTTTTCTTAGAAAAAATTGACAAAAAATTCCTATTTGAAAATTTAATTATCTAAAAAGATTTAAATTTGAGTATGAATAAATATGGTCTGTGAGTGCAACATATCTTTCGTTGTATACGAATGACTTCTGTATTGATGATTATTGTACATAATTGATGATATGTTGTAGTCACGGATTATAGTTATATTTACTCAAATTCAAGTCTTTTTAGCCAATTAAACTTTCAAAAATAGATTTTTTTCCGATTTTTTCTTTTTTTAATCTCAAATAAGTGTACGTGATTAAAAATTTATAACAGTATAATAAATTTTCAAGCTTTATCTACCCAAAAGAATTTCAAGCTTTAAGAAATAATTATACAAGAAGTGAATAAATTTGCATGAGAATTCAATATACTTTTGTTTTGTACAATAAAATTTAATGTGGATAACGCATAATTCATATTGATATTTTATGAAAATTTTTAATCACTTCGCCGGATACTATCCACATTGTATTGTTTGAAGCTCTCTTCAAAACAATATTTTGATAGAAATCATTATCATAAATCATTAGTATTGGTATCTATAACATAAATGCTGTGTTCTCTAATTTTTCTTAAAGTAAATTATGTAAATTTTTAAATGATTTGACTCATTCCAAACTGGCTAAATTTACAAGTTTATGGCACAGGATCCAACAACACATCGCTAACTTCCCTTTTATTTGCAAACAGAAATTTTTGCATATCACTTTCAAGTAGTAGGGCATTATGCAGCAAGAGATTCCATAGTCGCATTCGTCTCAAGTTGCACAGTGAGCTTCTGATCCATGCTGTCGCATTTCACAGTTCCGTGCAGAAAGTTGGAGTACCATTGAGCGGAGAGCTTAGGTCGCCTTGTCAAATTGGGATCATTCACATCTATATAATATAGACCATAACTGGTTTCGTACCCAGTAAGTAACTCAAACATATCCAATAACGACCATGCAAAATAGCCTCTCACGTTTGATCCATTCCTTTCAATAATCCAAAGCATAAACAAGAGAAAGATTTGTTAAGCATCATTACGGAACAGAGATAAGTTGATTGGAAGTAACCAAATTGGAGAACTGTTTGTTACCTCAACGAACAAAGAACTTGTCCAATGTATGCTTGGAAGTACTTCACTCTTGACCAGTCATTTATTGAGGATTCTGGTGAGCAACTTCTCGCAGTTTGTTGACCTGCAAAATCCAAAGGACTTTATAATGCAGGAACCAAATCTTGTTTCGTGGCAAGTTCAAACCCAATCTTGTTGAGAGAAGACATAAAAGCAAACCATTTTCGTGGATGTAAACTGGGAGATTCCCATAAGTATTCTTCAACAAATCAAGCACTCTTATCAATGCCGAAGGGGTAATTGGAATCTATATCCGGACATCACAAATATTAATGGTCAATCAATAGACTGAAGCTCCATCCTTAAAACAAAAGTATTAGCTTCTTGTTTTAACTTTTACCTCAATGACGGATGGATCATCCACAATATCTGCCACAGCCAGGTAATGCATCATTAAGCACTCGTATCAGTCGTTTATATAGTCATATTTTAGTGACACAAACACACAGAAATGGTTTATAATACAACATACCAATATATTTGAATTCCATATCTTGCATAACGCCTCTGTCTTCCCCCTGAAAGCTCCTGGGATAGTCTTGGGCGTATAATGAATAGTAAAAATTTAATCCTATGAAGTCAATGGAGCCCTTAACTAGATCTGACTCAGTTTTTGTGAATGAAGGAAGTCTGGAGCCTATGTTCTTTCTCATTTCGTCAGGATAATCTCCAAACACTATGGGATTCAGAAACCTGCAACATTACAGCAGCGTTGGCGGCGCAACATAAATCACAATGGACAAATTATAGAGAGAAATTGTTAGCCAAATTTCTACTTACCAACCGAGAATCAACTTGTTTGCCCTTTCAGAGGCGCTTAAATCTTCTGAAGTGTTTGTTAGAGGGATAAAATCGAAAGCAAAGATATTGATTCCAACATGTCCACCCTGCTTCTCCTGCATTAGTTAACATTCAAAATGTCCTTCATATCACCAAACATACGCAAGAAAGTTTGTGAGGCCAATATTATATATAAGAGCTAGACATTAGGCACGTGTATTGCACGGAGTCTGAAATCAATCTTACTGGTTATAGCTTATAAAGTGTGACTTCAAATAGATTTTATTATATGCATTGATGATACCTGGTACTTTGTCCTGTACAAGGTAACAGCAGATGCATGTGCTAACAATAAGTTATGAGCAGCCAGGTATGGCTCAGATGAGGAATTGCCCTTAGAGCACTTGGTTACAGGGGAAGAAGAACATCTTTGAGGTGGTAGCAATCCCCAGTCGTAGCCTCCAATCACAACACATTAGCTTCGTTCAGAGTGGTCCAATATTTAACTCTATCTCCAAACTCTCTGAAGCACACATCTGCAAATTCTTTAAAGTCTTCCCTGCAATATACCATATAATACAAGCACATGCTTTCATATCTATAAAGTATGTGAACCCATTTTGTTCAAGATGCCAGCTAGGAGAGAGCACAAGATGCCATACACCACTCTTCGACTAACCCATCCTCCATATTCATCCTCGAGAACTTGTGGTAGGTCACTGTGATGTAATGTAACATGTGGCTGAATACCTGCAATATGGTGTTGAAGATTAAGTATTAGAATGTATGAGTTGAGTTTTGGACTTTATATACCCAATGCAGTACTGTGGAATGAAGCCGGAGATTCATTGAGAATCGTGATTTATCGAGAATCACCATATCTTATGAGATCATTGATGAGGTTGTTGTAATACTCCAGTCCTTGGGATTGACTGGTCCTCTTCCGTCTGAGAAAAATATGCAAGAGAACAAGACGGTCAGACTCAGAACAAGAAACTAAATACTCACATATGTAAGTTAAACAGTTTGGTGGTGGAAGATTGTAACTTGGAATGAGTCTTGACCACGATATGGAAAATCTGTAGGCGTCTAACCCCATTTTGGCCATTATTTCCACATCTTCCTGTAACAAACCGAATCATCATTGCACATAACCAGCAAAATGCAAACTGCTCATAATTTCCTGACATATTTCACAGTTTCTGCAATTCAAATGGTGTTTCTAGGTCATTGTTACTAATTATAATTAGTCCTTGGCCGTTGGCTTGTGAAACATCAGGAATACATGCTTGACATTGAATAAGCCTCGTATATCGACGAACCTTGTATTGTGGTATTGGTCGCATGCTCTGTCTGCGAGTTCGTTGGTCATGTTGCCTGAAATCTCAATCAGATGGGAAATCAATAGTCATAAATTAGCAAAAGTGACCCATATCAAGTAGTTGTCAATAAATTTATTGTCAATAAATATATCAACATATACAAATCTTGAAATATACATCAGTATATCAGAGCCCTCTTAGGTAGAGGAAACTGAATTACTGAGAGTACCATTGTGAGCAAAGGTATCAAATATGCTTGGCGTTCTCCCATCTTCATCAGCTGCACCTTCAACCTTTCAAGTTATCCAAATTCCCATTAAAGAAAGACACAGACCACAATCACACAAATAAATCTGAACTATGGCAATCAGATGTGATGTACAACTTGTCCAATGATTTAGTTAGATTTGAAGTATTCATAGTGGGTGACAGTGACAATAAAGAAGTCTAGTGTACTAGAGGAAACATCAAGAAGATGACTTGTTGAGAGAACCTGATAAGCAGAGGTTGCTGCACCGAAAGAAGTCAGGAGGGAAATCATCTCTGA